ATATATATATATATATATATATATATATATATATATATATCACTGTTTAAAAGTAAAATGATCTTGAAAGTCACATCACATCAGAGATTACTAGAAGTTGATTTTATCACGAAACCTGAAACCGAGTTCGCTATAATCACATGGTTGTTTGTCCAGTCATCCGATCATCGGAGTTACTAGTCATGCGGTGTTTGTGTATCTGGGTGGGGTGTGCTGGGAAAGTTTCAGCGCCTGCTTAAATTGTTTTTGAGCACATAGAAATAAGAGTTAACAAACCAATTCCCACCGTTTCTGCTGTGACTAGCATCCGACAGCGAACCTGCTTGGTTAATTGCTCAGGGTATTTATACAATGAACCAAAGCCTCGGCTCCATTCACAGAGTGATTTGTTTTAACTAGGTATGAAATCACTGCACTGACGAGTGACTTATTGTTCCGCCACGCAGGGTGGTTGCGTGTCGAGATTGATCTTTCTTGGCTTATCATCTAGGTAAAAAGCCAGATTCCTTTTGACCCTAAGCGGTATTATTCATTTATTTTCACACACGTCTGAATCCAGCCGGTGTGCCAAACAAATCATGGTACAGTAATCTTTATGAAAACGAAAGACGTTCCGTGATTTATTGGTCGAAATACTTCCAGGTTGCTCAGGCCAAGGTAGGTGAATTTTCTTGGGGAATCCACAACCGAAGCCTTTGGCTAGCTAAAGCCTCACTCGCAAGGCAGCTGGACCGTGTGTGAAAACCGCAATCCATTGGGGGCCGGTGTCCAGTTCATCGGATTATACGCCTTTCGGACGAGGTCAAACGTTCAAGGTGCCCAATCCACCTTGATGCCCAATCGAGCCGGTGACCACAACCGGAAAGGTGTGTGTAGTTCGCACACCCCCTCTTGGTTGTCTTTGAATCTGGGTTTTTGACCAACTCCCTTGGGTGAACTACCAGTGGTCCACCAACTCGATTATAGCTCCGGATGTCGGCTTTTCGTCCTCTCATTGCCACGAGAAGGCTGCGAGTAGGGCTTCCTCAACAGAGGCTATTCGAGACGCTTAGTCGTATAGGAGCATTTTGCTAAGTGCTAAGGAGGGGTGACCAGCGGCAACCCTAGACACCCACTCCCGACCAAACTGAGGATTTCGGAGGCATTCTGTTCACTAAACACCCCGGATATCCCTTTCGTGCCCAGGTCGACCTGCTTTGCCCTGTCCACTGGTTAAAGAGCCAGATTCCTTTTTCCCTCCGGTGGTACGAGGCTTCGGAAATGGATGTATCGGTCTCTTCAAATTACATTTCTGTGAAATGAATCATCTGATCGACGAATGATGCAGAGATCCAGATATGGCAATTTGTTGTTACACAGCATTTTCAAAGTAAACGTTGTTTGGACGGGTAGTGTTGGATCTACCTATTGTGATCGGTGTAGCGTTGATGACAAAAATATCCTCCACGCGCCGTGTGTGTTTAACACAGTTTTACGATGGATGATTGTAATTGAGTGTTTTTAAGTCTCGCCATAAATGAGTCCGCAAATCGCAGTCCCAGCGCAGACCCTTTGGCCACCACCCTTTTGTCGTTGAATCTCTTCGTCTGCTCGACTGATAACAGGGGAATACTTGCTCTGTAATTCTATCGATTTACCTAAGCTCGCACCACTTCCTCTCGACGTAATATTTGATTTACGTGAAATGAGCTCAAGGGCTGTTGCGTTATAGTCATTGATACGTATGTGCGAATGTGTATGCAGTTTGACATACAGGAACAAACACATCAAGCTTTTGAGTCTTTTGAGCCTTTGACTGAATACAATATTCTCAACAGACAGCTCGCTCGATGTCTATCGTTCGTCCGCTTTGGTCCACTCTGTTTTTACTTTGTGCTCCAGAAAAGGCGGGACGACTTTGAGGTTGATTACTCATACAATGGTTCAGTTATATCGGACCATTTAGTCAACTAGTCCTAAATAAACACTATCGTGGCTGAGGATCCAATAGCCCGAACAGTTGATCCCCCTCAGTAATACGCGTGTTCTGTTAATGAAAGCGCTTTTGAACTATGAGATGACGAACAAGCGCTTGATTTATTTACGAACATAAACTTAGGTCAGCTTATACTAATTTGATGTTTTTTTTTCCGGCAAGCAATACATGAACGAAAACCAAATAAATTCTTAAATCTGGTTTTTTCAATTGCATTCGCATTTTTCAAAGCACTTAAAAACATTCACTCATTTATTGCATTCATTACTTCTGTTTTCTTTAATTTGCAAATGGCTCTTTAACCTTTTCAGATATTGCTTCCTTCCGAAGGGGATGGAGAAATACTTCTGTTTTCATCAACTAAAACCACATGTTACAATTCATTTCAAAAGGATGTTTCCTCAGCTTGCAGGGTGTCCCCTGTTTCTCTAATTCTTGGAGGTAATCTTATCCTCATGCGAGAAATATGATTTTAGGCAGTTTTGCACTTCTCAGTATCATGCACACACCCCTGGGGATTACTTCATTACTTCATTCTACCTACTAGAGCCTAGGTCCTCGGTTTCCATAGCAGAGAAGTAGGCCCTGGTGGCAATGGGGTTCGTACCTAGTTGTCATAAAAATGGCACCATTTCTGAGCGAGACGCTGTCTCGGTTAGAACACGTGCGCACTGCTGTCCGTTGAGGGAAGATTTAAGCTTCACCCGTTGGTTCGGGGAGAAGTTTCTCGTATTCTGGAAG